ATTGCTGGAAGAAAAGATCAGGATTTCCCCTTGGCTGCCAAATCTTTGTAGGTGGGCCCAAAAACGTACATACCTTTTCCGAAATAAAAACTTTTTGCTTGTGCTTTGCAAAGGCTGAATAAACCTATGACAAGGAAGATCCCATAAAAGAAAAGAGGAGGAAGAGAACAGAAGAAAGAAATTCCTTTAAGAAGTTTTCAAGAATAAATTACAATTTAAGTACCTCACTGTGTGTCTAGAATAGAAGTTTTCAGCAAGAGATACTGCCATCTAGTGGAGAGGGAGCCTCCCTTAAGATATTAGATTTTAAGTAAGCCATTAGAGCAGAGGTGGGCAAACTATGGCCCACAGGCCAAATCCGGCCCGTGGGACTGTCCTGGCCGGCCCTTGAGCTCCCCACCAGCAAGGCTAGTCCGGCCCCATCCCTGCTGTCCCCCCTCCCCACAGCCAGGCCGCCACATGGGCGGCACTCTGGGCAGCGGGGCTGTATGCTCCTGCAGGGCAGCGCGGCAACATGTCTGGCTCCGGCTGGGGGGCATGGCTACCAGACATACTGCTCTGAGGGGCATGGTAATGGGGCCAGGGGATCCTGGGGGGCAGTCAGGGGATAGGGAGCACGGGGCAGTTGGATAGGTGTGGGAGTCCTGGGGGGCCTGTCAGGGGGCGGTTGGATGGGGCGATGATTCTGGGGGGGTGGTCAGGGGACGGGGAGTTGGAAAGACGTGGGAGTCCCAGGGGTCCTTTCAGGGGTCGGGGTTGTGGATAGGGGTCGAGGCAGTCAGGGGACAGGGAGCAGGTGGGGTTGGATAAGGGGTGGGATCCCGGGGGGCGGGGGGGTCAGGGGGGGGTTGGATGGATTGGGGATTCTGAGGGGAGCACAGCCTTCCCTACCCGGCCCTCCATACAATTTTGCAACCCCAATGTGGCCCTTGGGCCAAGAAGTTTGCCCACCCCTACATGAGAGTCTTTGGGATTTGTATCAATTTATTTTTGAAGCCATAGTGAACTCTTCCTTTTTCCAGCAACATTAAACATGACATGAGATAAAGATGTCTGATGTGACTTCTGGCAAATCCATCACAACTGACATGTATGCTTAAAATGATACCACAGAAGAAACAAAGGGCATATTGTGGTAACATACTTAAGTGCAATAGTTTATCTGTAGAAATTAATCCTGGGATAGTCAAAGTCTAGACCAATAAATTTTACAACACTCATGCCAATATGACAAATTAGAGCTCCCTCTTCGTTCCTCAAAGCAAATGAGAGTTGGTTAGGACTCGTGATTTACTTAACTCCTATTCTCTGTACTACTCACTTTTACTTAACCTCATCATGTTCAAATTTGCCACCTGACTCTCTGGCTAGCGAGCCATTATCTCTCCCTTTATTTTGTTTTCTCCTCTCAAAAGGTGGATTTCTCTGGCTGTGGTCATGTTTCCAAAAGTTAAAGGGGAAAACTGGTCAGGCGGATTTGGTCTTCAAAGATAGAACTGGCTCTCATTTGATCACAGTGAGTACCACTGGGGAGGAATTTACTTCCACGAGAGAAGGGATATGGCCAGAGATTCCTTGGACTGAGCAGGAAGTATAAAGGAGATTAGCTGCAAAGAAGTCAGTAGTTATCTGTTCCGACAGAGGTTTAATGCATTGAAAGACGTATGAAGTTGCTAGAGTTACAATACCTGCATTGTTTCAGAGTAGCAGCCATGTTAGTCTGTATCCGCAAAAAGAAAAGGAGGACTTGTGGCACCTTAGAGACTAACCAATTTATTTGAGCATAAGCTGAAGCTCACGAAAGCTTATTACCTGCATTGAGTATATGTTATTCTTAGAGGAAGGCCATGAAGTAACTGATGGTCTTTTTTGGGGGGGAGGGTTAAAGAATGAACATCCAGATTTAAAACTGAAGACCAAGTTTATGAAGGTTGTGTTTGGAATTGTTCTCTAAATGATTTAACTATACTAAATGTCTGATTCTATATTAAAATATGGGCTTTCTGGTAACAGGGCTCATCAACAACTTCCCCATCAAACCCAGATTTCATAATATGAATTTAGTTGAGCCAGTGCAGAACCCTTCAAAACAAGTGCTGGAGAATGAGGCAGTGAGGTACAGAACAGATTTATGGACTGGAATTAGACAACTACACCAGTGCCAAACAATTTCCCTCCCGCCAAAACTGATAAAGATTCAAAAGACCAAGAGCCAGTCCCATACTCAGTGAGTAAACAAAAAAAATAAGGCAACCTTACCATCCAAATAGGATTACAGACAGTGCATCACCAAATGAAAACACCACAAGAAATAGTTTAGCATATATCAAAATAAATATGGAAGTTTTACTGCAATGTGTCCCTCTCCATCATCATCATCATGTTTCACAGTTCTTTATGGAAACAGGGAAATAGTGTAATGTAATCTAGAAACTTATTGAACCATAATGTGCAATATACATTAAAACGGCTCTGACATGAAGCATGGGGACCATTTTACCTGCCTGGGCCCTCAAAACTAATCGCCAGATTTCTCTATTGCATAAGAGATACTGTGCAATAGGCTATCCTAGCTCTTAAATTTAAGACGGTTTTGCCTCACAGAATTACAGAAATACAATATGGAATCCAATCATATAAGGAGATTTCTCATACTGCTCAGCATTCAACCTAACTCTGCTGGCTCTGAGTTACCTGAACAGTCTTATAATGGACTCCTGTATTGACAAACATTTCACTCTGCTCACATATTCAGGTAAATGAGAAGGACAGAGTGGATGCTAAATGACTCCAGTTTATTCTGTGTGAGCCCTCACTTCAGTGTGATCAAACAGCTGCTTGCAGCTACATTAATTAAAACATCACAAGTGCCAGGAATTCATTGTGTGGGTTAGAAATCTATTTCTACTTTTCCCATTTTATTTTCAGCTGTACAACAGCCAAACAGTTTGGAGAACAGAGAAAACTATGGAATCCCACGTTCCTCTAACTACAAAATTACATAAAAGCACTGTTATATTTAAGAATAAACCTCAACATTAAATTATTCATCTTCCTAGTACCCCTTCTAAAGCATTTCCTATACCTGTTTTTATATTTATATGTACCGCTGTAATCTAAGACCTCTGTGTTAGTTATTAGATAAACACAACTAAAAGAGGGTCCACATTCCAAACAATTTACCTATTCTTCTAGTCACACCTTAGCTTACCCAAAACTGAAAATTATAGACTCATTTACTTTTTACACACTTTATTGTTTGACTTTGTTTAATCACTTTCCTGCTGATATTCTTGCACAAGTGCCATGCTGCTGTGTTTGAGTTTGCATCACTAGAGAAAAATATTTAAATTCCCCACTAAAGAAGTTTTTAATTAAAAAGTCATGAAGTATTTCCATTCATTATTGTTCTGTGAACATCTTTCACCCCTTTTTTCTGGAGTAGGCTGGAGAAGAGAAGCACTACCATTCTGGGCATACACTACTTGACACTGTCAATTTAAAGGGAAAATCTTTCCGCAAGATTATTACAACCAGAGAAGCCTTGCACACGACTTTGAGAAAGGTAAAATGGTCAGTGAGAGAAGGCAACTCACGATGTGCTAGCACTTCCTTAGGAATGGGGATGAACAAAGAAGCGTTGAGCTCACGTTCTGGTAAGATATCTCCTTTCTATCTTTCCAGAAAGGAGGACTGCAGTTTGTGCACTTTAACACATATAACATAGTCCACAGATCATTCCCAGCTAGAGAGATAGTGACAAAATTCAGACCACAGCTAGCGCAGGCAGATGAGCCACAGCATGTATGGTAAATGCAGGTTCAGAGATGTTGGGTGCCCCACACACGCCTGAAATTCAACTACAGCCCCAAAAGAAGAAAAACAAATACAGTTATATGAATGAATAGAAAGTATTGGGCGGTCATGGCCTACAGTCAATTGGGAGAATTTGGCTTTCAGTGTTCTAAGTAGTCATGAATAATATTGACAGAGACAAGGTGGGTGAGGTAATATCTTTTATTGAGCCAACTTCTGTGGGCTAAAGAGACAAGCTTGAGAGATCTACAGAGCTCTCTGACAGGTCTCACCTTGTCTCTCTCTCATATCCTGGGACCAACAAGGCTATTACAACACTGCAAAGAACAATACTATTTATTATAAAACTGCTCATCCTAAAAGATCCCAAATACATCCAGGATTCACTTCACTCATCACTGAGATGCAGCCATCTGTTTAACAGTGCACGGCAACACTCCTCCACAGTTTACGTCAAAAAATGAACTGTGTATCTCTCAGACTACAGGAAGGATTTATGTAGGTGGAATGTAATTACCCAAATACAGGTACCTAACTCAATGCTTACCGAGATTATGCTCGAAGATTAAGTCGACATTAGAAGCCTGGCAGGCACAGGGCAAATGAATTCACCAGAATATGCAGTGTCATGAAGGACAAGCAAAATGTGACAGTTCTTTCCATGACAGCAAAGATCATTCAGCTTTTGCCTCTTCAGAGAATGAAGATGCACCAAATTATGACAATGGCCAGTTTTCTGTGGGCTGCAAACCCTTCTGCAGTTCTTATCAATTCAAGTGACATCTCCCTTATTTGAGACAAAGTCAGATCACTTATCTAGCCATTGACAGAGAGACATGGAGAGACAGATGCATGCTCTTTCTGATGGTCGATCATTGTATCTGAATTAAGGTTTCCTTTTTGTTCAACATGTACAACATCCAAAAATATGCATCAGACCAAAATGCCTCAGGAACAGCATTAGCTGGAAATGAGTTAAAACTAGTTTCAGGTACTATACCTCCCCTCTATAAAGTAGTTTTGCCAATTGGGGGGTGGGGGTGTGAGGGGGGACTTAGTCATTTTTCTCTTTTTAAAGACATTTTTTTCTTTCCAGTGTTGCTGTGTGAAAGCCCTTTTCAAACAGGAAAAACTGCTGTACAGATTGAAAGCACTGGTAAATCTTCCCCTTTGCTGGTACTCACCCTGATCAATAGAGTGCTGAGGAAGCTGGCTAAGTTGGCTATTCACTACACCTGCATACGTCCGCAAGAATTCCTCTTCACTGGCAGTCAACTGGGAAATGTGCAAAAAATGAAAGGATGAATAGCAGGAAACAGACTATTGACAAATACCAGTGCCTTCTCCATATCAGTCCATGTACAATTTTAATTTAATTCATTTAAAGCATCTAACTCCAATTGGACCCAACTCCTTCCTTGCTACCATATTCTGATTTTTCAGACTCTTACACTTCAAAAGCAGAGAGTACAATCCCACAACCCATACTCACTTGAAAAGTGAACTATCACAAGGATGGATGGAGTGACTTTTCCTTTCCTCAATGTCTTCAGATTTATATCCTCACTGCGCAAACCTAATTGAGGTTAATTGTACAGTATACCTGAAGGCATTTTCTGACCTCTAGTATGAGTACCCTACTACTGCTGATGACATGCAAGATGGAAAGAACTTAACTTGAACATTAGAGCCCACAGCAAATTTGTGGTGCTGCTCTTAGAAGGGACTTCTTTTTATTTGTTAACTGAGTGAATTGTACATAGAAATCAGTGGGACCCAATCAATACAGAATCCCATAATCCAGATCTTTTTTTTAATCAGACCCACTTCATCTACAATTTTTAATTTTACGAATACTATATGAATTCCCTAAAAAATTATGAAAACTATAAACCTATTTATACAAACTTGGGTGCATGAGCCATGTCTATATTCACAGCAGCCCTGCTCTTCTAGTGCTAGAATCAGTGATCTCTACATGCACTTAGACCTTGGGTCAGTTAGCAGTACCCCTAGAATCTCATCCAATCCCAGCTCATATAATGCCATAGAGTAACAGTGGCCGATGCACGAATCCATCCACTTGCAGATTGGCTTCAGAGCTACCATCAATAATTACTTCCTTTAATTTTCTAGTTTATTACAGTATTTAGAAAACTTGGTGTGTACAAAAAAAAGACAGCAAAAGTTCAGGCCCGATTTCAACCACTGCACACTTCACAATTTATTTTTGGCCTAAGCTTCATCTCTGGATAAATCAACAGTGGCCAAAACAATTTGGCAAAAAAACAGACCATCCCCTGCCCATGCCAATGAACGTTATTTCAGAAATAAAAGAAAGTTAGGGCTTGTCTACATGGTGCTTTATTCCCCACTAGAGAAGTGTCACTTTTAGTCTGTGATATGCCAGTGCAGAGTAATTGGCCTGTATGGACCCTGCCCTGCTGCTGTGCACTACAAGTTCCCTAGTGTGCATTAATGTAGTCCCATTTCAAACAGTACTACATTAACTCGCACTAGGGAAACTTTTTGTGCACACCAACAGGATCCACATAGGCCAGTTAGTGAACAAAATGCTAGTTCACACTAAAATGAACACCCCTCTGGTTCGAGCTAAAGCACCATGTAGACAAGCCCTCATGCACTGAAGGCCACTGTGGCCTCCTCAAATTTAAATCGACATAGCTACGATACTCGGAGTGTGAAAAGTCCACACCTTGAGCAGCCTAGCTATGCTGACCTAATGCTCTAAGTCGATGCAGCCACACTGATGGAAGAATGCTTCTGTTGACCTAGCAGCCATTGCTCAGATAGGCATTGTTCCTACAATGATGAAAAACCCCTTCTGCTGCTATAAACTGTGTCTCCACTAGGGGGTTATGCTGGCATAGTTACAATGCCATAGCTATGCTGCTGTACTCCCTGTACTATAGGCATGACCAAAATGTGTGCTGCAAGAGTGAATTCCAGAGCAAGTGGCCCCTCCACACATCTTAAAAGAATTTGACGGCGTTTAACCCTGGCGACAGGGAATGGGAACATCCCAGTTGGCCACAAATTCCATGACGGGGTGGAAGAAGGTGGCGGTTAAGTTCTGATACTTTTTCAGAACTCCATTAAACTTACATTTGATCCCATCTTCCTAAGCATGAGCAGAACTCTCACTTTCTGTTGGATGTACATCTCCTCCGGACTCTTCCCGGGGACGCCCTCACGGTTCATTCCCCTCCTCCCAGCTCCTGGGACTCCTGCAGATGTAACAAAACCAGAATGAAGTGAACTGATAGTTATGGTTTGATATGCATAACTGGAGAGTTCTATTTCCAAAACACCTATTTTTCACCATAGGTCAAAATACTTCATAAGTTGGTTTGACAACTAGGCTGGGATGGTTTGGTAATCTAACTTCTGACAGGCAGGAAGAGGCCCAAGTCATTCCATTGTAAAAAGCAAACTAGACAGTGGATTTGGAAAATAAACCCATCACAAATCTGGCAGCAGGAGCTGGCTGAGCAGAGTTTGCACCCCCATAATACTTGCACCACTGACTGTGGTTGGGGAAGGGCACAGAGTAGCTAGGTATCCCCTCACACCAAGTATGTGGGATTAAATTATACGGGCAGAGATACCAGGATAGAAAAAAGCTCATCTACTGACCTCATGACTGAGGGCAAGGAAGCGTTTTATGGAAATAGCAGTTGGAGATTTACATCCAGTGTGTGTGCTCACAGTAGCCCTCCATTTTGTTGCAGGAGTAGGTGGAAATTGCTTAAATTCCATAATCTGGCATTTTTATCAACCCACAGAGGAAATGTTTTCAATTATAATCCACAACTACTATGAATACACACACTGCATGTCAGTTCATTCAGAGTCAAGGTTCAGTAAATTCTTAACTACAAGATGTTCTGAAAATTAAGATGCTTCACACAATATTCACTCACAAAATAGACTAGTTTCAGAGTAGCAGCCGTGTTAGTCTGTATTCGCAAAAAGAAAAGGAGTACTTGTGGCACCTTAGAGACTAACCAATTTATTTGAGCATAAGCTTTCCTGAGCTACAGCTCACTTCATTGGAGTGAGTTTGGGGGGGGGGGGGGGAGGTGAGAAGACCTGGATTTATGCTGGAAATGGCCCACCTTGATTTTCATACACATTGTAAGGAGAGTGGTCACTTTGGATAAGCTATTACCAGCAGGAGAGTGAGTTTGTGTGTGTGGTTTTTGGAAGGGGGGGGGAGTGATAAAACCTGAATTTGTGCTGGAAATGGCCCATCTTGATTATCATACACATTGTAAAGAGAGTGGTCACTTTGGATAAGCTATTACCAGCAGGAGAGTGAGTTTGTGTGTGTGGTTTTTGGAAGGGGGGGAGTGATAAAACCTGAATTTGTGCTGGAAATGGCCCACCTTGATTATCATACACATTGTAAAGAGAGTGGTCACTTTGGATAAGCTATTACCAGCAGGAGAGAGTTTGTGTGTGTGGTTTTTGGAAGGCGGGGGAGGGTGAGAAAACCTGGATTTGTGCTGGAAATGGCCCAACTTGATTATCATACACATTGTAAGGAGAGTGATCACTTTAGATAAGCTATTACCAGCAGGAGAGTGGGGTGGGAGGAGGTATTGTTTCATGGTCTCTGTGTATATAATGTCTTCTGCAGTTTCCACAGTATGCATCCGATGAAGTGAGCTGTAGCTCACGAAAGCTTATGCTCAAATAAATTGGTTAGTCTCTAAGGTGCCACAAGTACTCCTTTTCTTTCAGTAATTACTCAAACTTAAGCAGTAGCTGTAACAGAGAAACCTCACCACCCACTTTATTTCAGTACTGCCAAGGTGCTAGTAAAATGCAGGCCTGATATTTAGCTAAAATTTCACCAACACTACTTGAAAAAGTTCCCAGTGGGAGGTTCTGCATTGTGCTAATTTTGATGTAGATGGCTATGTTTGACAACCAGCAACTGGTAAATATGCAATCTTGACTTCGTTTATAATGGAGTCAACAGATGCTTTCAGAGAGCGCAGAAAAACAAACACAATCCAATAACATAAAAAAATTATAATTTCTTCTCTTAAAAAGGTAGAATAGTTTTTCCATTAAAAATGTGAGTAACTTTATAGTGAAATGCCACACATTCCACTGTTCTGAACTGTGAAAAGAAAGTGAGCAATGGAGACTAAATAAGCATGTGATGAGACAGGCAACAATCTAATTAAAGCATTTATACTAATTAACCGATCCATATGACACTGTGAAAAAAGTGTGCAAGTAGTTCTGAATCACTCTCCACTGCATAACAGTGCAAAGAGGTGATTTTAACACTAGTGAAAGGCGCTGGATTGGCAGCCAAGGAGATTCAATCCTATTTATCCTGTGAAAAAGCAGACAGCAGCAGCACAAGTTTCTCCCACTTTATCCCACCTAGATGCCTAATCTGGATGGACAGTTATCTGCAGTGTGCATCAAAGCACTGCACAGGTAAGATTTGTACTACAAGACCCATAATGGGCTTCACACAGTCTTCTGCTCTTCATACTTCTAGAACTCGAAGAGCCTCACCTTGAAATTTTTTTGCCCCATTCCTTTCGCCTTCATTTTGTATTTATGGTTGGAAAGCTCTATTAAAAGGAAGGGTTTTGCAGAGAGTTGAAGTTGTAGAATAGCATGAGCATTGCACTGCTGTGTGGGTGAGCCAGCTGACACTCATTTTTGCTGTCTCAGCTTCTCCAAACTACACAAGTCAGTCATACTATAAGGCCACAGGAGCTAACAGCAGTGCAGCTGAGCAATGGCACAAATTAAGAATCAACATACCTGCTGCCTAACTAATAAATTCAAGCCATTCGGATTCAGTTACAAGTAATTAATAAATAAATAAATGACAGAAATGCAATAATTTGCGGACTGGAAAGCCCACCTGCTATAATCATAGGAGAGACCACAATACTTGATCCTACAAACTAACATGATTTTGAAACAAGTCTGATCTTCACATCATTGATCTTAAAAAGTACAGATATCGGATATCTTTGGAAATTCATGGATGACATCTTAACTGGCTAGGATGAGATCCAGAACCAAATGCCATCTTAACTGCTGTACCCTTATATTAATTCACTTTTTAAAAAACATTCTGGAAACATGTCACACACCCACATTTCTTTTCTCTTCTCCGGTTACTGATTTTGGACCCTTTTTGTAAAAGGCTTTATTCTGCACTTTGACATTTGAACCACACAGATTCTCAGCAGGTTAGATTTCAGAATACTGTGCTTGGCTTTATGGATGCCACGTTACTTTAAAGGGTTATCAAACACCCATCTACCAGTGCAGCAAGTACAGGAACAAGCATCAATAGATTGACTGGTTCAGAATCCAGAGACCTAATGTGGGTCAGTAGTTTGAGAAGAGAAAAACAAGCAAGACCTTCAAAGGATCAACATGGGGCCAATTTCATTCACTTCATATACCAATAACCTGGACGACGACGACAGAGCAAGCTTGTAGCATGTCAGCACAGAAAGAGGCTTCATCTCCCCAGGTTATCAAGTGTCCCTTCATAATCTGAACCCATGAATGGGTAAATCAGGGGGAGAAAGCAAGAAATCTTCCAAAAATTAAAGGAGTTTAATCTCCCCACAAAAGCCAAAAAATGCCAACAAATGCTAACACTCAAGCATATTAAATTTGTAGAAAATTACATAAATTATCTACCAGTAGGTGGCACCATAGACAAACATCAGGGAGATGCCACTTCTGCCCCACTCTCCCACCTACAGAAATCCCCCACACTTCAGTTTATCTTTAACCGTGGAAAGGTGACAACTCCTCTTTACTTTACCCCAACCTGAGAGAGGACAAAGGAAACAAAACAGGGAGAAAAAATAGAATAGGATGAAAAGGAACAGGAAGAAGATTGAGGGAAATGAGGAGAAAAACATACTAAGATCAAGGACGAAAACCAAAAGAATTGTTAGGAATACACCATTTCAAACGTCTAAATTTAGAATTCAAACAAACATTCTATACGTTTAAAGACAAGGAGTACTTGTGGCACCTTAGAGACTCACCAATTTATTTGAGCATAAGCTTTCGTGAACTACAGCTCACTTCATCGGATTGAAAGCTTATGCTCAAATAAATTGGTTAGTCTCTAAGGTGCCACAAGTACTCCTTTTCTTTTTGCGAATACAGACTAACATGGCTGTTACTCTGAAACCATTCTATACGTTTGAAGCAGAGAAATTGAGATGGTTTGATACTAAGGACTAAAAAGAAGTGTAGTAAAAACACTTCCAACCCAATGCCATAAATGAGTTTTCCTGTTCACAAGTAGTTGTGCTGGAGTAATTATAAACAATCACACCCCAAGTTTTAAGACTCCCAAAATTCAGAACTGAATCAAAGGTAAACAATCTAACAGTGTTATCTCTAGATTTGTTCTGCACTTGAGAGACCATTTACACAGTAGAGCATGTCACTTAACTTGCCTCAAACGGTAAAAAATATATATATAGAATTTAAAAAGCATCAAAAGTGATAAAAGGGAAAAACTAAACAGAGCCTGGTTTAGCAACAAATAAGCATGGGGGAGAATGGTGCCAGAACACAATATCCATTTTATCTAAGCCAAGAGAGGAATTGTTTGAGGTGAACCACGAGGGCATGTTGAAGAGTCATGGGATGAAACTGAGCAAAGGAAAATTTAAGCTGAGTATCAAAAACAATTCCTTAACAGTGATATCTATTAGGCCATGACAACACTGAGAAAAAAAGATGCATTTTTACAAGACAGGTAATGTTGTAAAAGTCTAGTGTAGGCAGGACACTAGGATTTTACCTTGATGTAGTTGGCTAAGACACCTAAATTAGAATTTTACAAAACGTTAGCTCTCATGTTATTCATTGGTCTTCAATGGACTGATTTTCTGTGGAGAGGCAAGTTTGGGACTCCATAACTGAACTTCTACTAAAGAAATTTCAGCAATTCGGTTAGTCCAATATTTTAGATATTAGCCCTCTTAGGTTTTTTTTTTTTTACGTTCATAAAGTAATTGTGTGGTTGTTCTTTTAAATAAAAAATAAGCTATTTCTCTAGTAGTACAACTGACTTTATATTTAACAATAGGAAGCAATTCTGACTCTGCCTAACAACCCTGCCTGGATGAATCTTAACTACAGCCATACCCAACACTTTCCATTGTAAGACCCTTTTTTCAGTTGCTTATAGGTCTGTCAAATTTTAGACATTCATGCCAAAGTTTTCCATGCCAGCTATTTGCCTAAGTCTGATTTTTTTTTTTTTAAAGTATCAGCTAAAATTGTTGAGCCATTTCCAAGAAAGAGGTTAAAAGAAAATATGTTGCTTTGCCTATTAAAATTCTTCCAACTGTTTCATCAAGAAGTTGTAGTGCCTCCAAGCATTGGAGCAGTGACTTGAAATTTGGCAGGGGATTGCCCATAGCGTTCGGGGTATGTGCCTTTTGTTGTCCCCGTGAAATCTGGCCAAATTTGGACCAAGTTATAAGCTCCTAAAAATCACAGCGTGCAAATGCTCAGAGCGGCTTGTTAAGAGTTTGGCAGCTAAGTTTTCTTAAGATTTTTGTCTTCACTGAGCATGCTCCACCCCCACACAGCTCTTATGCATCAACCAAATTGTGCAAGCACTACTCCACCCCCTCTACCCAGAGCAATAAAGTATTCTCCATTCTAGGGCTGCAGGGGCTGAGCAGATTTTTTCCTGGATCTGTTCCCTCCTGGCTGCTAGGGCCTGCTTTGGTGCTGGGCACTGGAACTAAGACCAGGAAGACAGTCACTGTGCTCTCTTCCCTGTCCACCCTCCCCAGCAGCTGCCCATGCAGTGTGGTGAAGGAAGAAGCTGCCTGACTTGAATGCAGGAAAATTAGAAGCAAAAGGGAAACAGAGCAAAAGCTAGAAAGGTAGGGGGTACGCACATACACAGGAGCAGAGAGTTTATAACAACTAGATTTCAGAGTAGCAGCCGTGTTAGTCTGTAGTCGCAAAAAGAAAAGGAGTACTTGTGGCACCTTAGAGACTATTGCATTGGATGAAGTGAGCTGTAGCTCACGAAAGCTTATGCTCAAATAAATTGGTTAGTCTGTAAGGTGTCACAAGTACTCCTTTTCTTTTTATAAGAACTAGAGCACACTCCCCTTAAGAGCCCGGAATCAAACCCATGTTTCCCAAGTCAGGATTCCTTTGCTTTCTAATAAATAAGTTGTGAATCCAACTGGCCAGCTGTGTCTCATCTTATTCTAGTGGCTGGTCTAAAGTGAATAACAGCTTTTTACTACCATCAGTTATTCTGTTAGCTCAAGTGGCAGACAGGCAGAGGGCTGTGCTGTGGGTCTAAAGATCCCAAACTTACTCATGAACCATGTGAGAGTCAATAGGGTTCAACATGATGGAATTCTGCCCCCCACCCCAGGTTCCCTTTTTAAAGATGTAAGCATATTACATACAACACAATACAACTTACCTGTTTCTAAAAAAAATAAACCACACAGGATTAGATAACCCAAGCGCTCAGTCCTGATTAATGATCACAACTGGGAAAAAGTGAGACGAAAGTACCCTGTGAAGATAAAATATTAAAGAGAAATATATAAACTGAAAAACAGAAAGACACTTAAATTTTTTTTCAGAGTCTTATACCACTGCATCTAGCCAACATTTGTAAAACTGAAGACAAGCTACGTGAAGCAGAACTCTGTATAATACTGCTTATATACTTATTTCAGTAAGCGATTAAGGATAAAAATGAATCAGTAAGTACATTCCTGGTGATCAGGATACACTCAAGTCTTGTTTTCTTGGGGAGTTGGGGGAGGTTTCAACCCAAGACCCGTCTCTTTGAACAAGCCAGTAACAGTGCAGCAGAATAACCAGGTGTAACCTCCTCTGGGTAAAAACAAGCATGATTCATCACTTAAAAATTCAAGGTGGGGTAGAAAATATAGTGCTTATGGCCAAAATTTATGTTTTCAATTATGCATATGGCATTTGAATGATTAATTAAAAATGCTTGCTTCTTTTGCAGCGTAATTAATGTTTCAAAAAGAAACTTTAAACATTGGCTTGTCACATATGGATTACATTATTTGATTGATCAAGATGTGGGTATTTCTAAACCTATTTTATAATTACCATTAGGAACTAGAGGTTGAGTAGGTTCCCTAAGCGACAATCGCTAGTCACCAGAGTTCAAACACATCAGGGCTAGCTCAAGTGAGATTACTGGTCATCGAACCTTTCACATAATATGGCAAAACAGTGTGAACAGCTTCTGTTCAGGACAGCTCCACAACTTGAAGCATCTCAATCATCATTACCATACAAAGGGCCAGGTTTTAATTAAAACCCTCTGATTAGAAGAGCCAATTTGTACACACCTGCACTACCCACTGAAATGAAACCTCCAGCATGGAGACCAGGGTTCTTGGTTAAGTGTAGAGATACACACTTGTTATTTTCAATCAGGAGGTGAAGGCAAAATTGGAGTAGCTCAGAGTTTCTCCCAGTCAGTGCCCTGCACCATTCCATGCTGGGAGAGGGTTACGCCTGGAATGCCTGAGATCTCCTGAACAATTACACCAACTTTGTCCAAGAGAGACCAGGGCTGCAATAACTGCAAGCTTCACCCACAGCACTCTACAGTGGCCCCTCCTAGGAAGAGCTGAGAGTGGAGGAGCTATACCAACTGCTTTAAAAGACATTCACTGCGCCTCTCCAGAAGAGAGAAAATGTCTGTTATGAAAGGACTATTTAAGCCTTACCTTTCTCCTTCACTCATTAGTTCCCACTTTTCTAACCCCCTAAAATGCAATACAGCCCAATGACCGATCACCTACAGCACTGACAACAGAACCATTTACAGTAACTAATTGCTCTTTTCATTTTTATAGACTTCAAAGGCATCACACCCTCCATCATTACATACACATGGAACTGTGGGAACTCCTTCCTTCAAAAAAAGATGAAAGCACAGGAACTAACCACTTCTGAAGTGCACTAATTTCTATTAACAGCCAACAATAGCACTCTCACACTTACCATTAAAATGCCAGACCCTTCCAAAAAGCTATAAGTAATGGCAATCTGTCTATGCATATAAGCTCCATTTATCAAATAATCCATTATCAAGTAACTCAGAGAAAAGACATAACATTTTCCTGGCTAGGAAAATGTATCTCACAAACTACAAATCCCACCTGAACTTAACTGCAGATTGAAATTTGGTCTGGATAAAAATTACAGCACAGTTAGACAGAAGAGTTTAACCATGGAGACCAGCTTTCAGAACAAGTGTACTCAGAAGCAGCAGCACTGTGCAAGTGATGCAATCCTGGTTAGTTTCACTTTTCCACTCCCCACAGGGGTTCTCAAACTTTATTGCACCCTGAACGCCTTCTGGCAACAAAAATTACTACATGATCCCAGGAGAGGGGACAAAAGGCTGAGCCTGCTGACCCCACCACCCTGGGCGGGGGAGCAGAGGAGCCAAAGCCGAAACCCAAGGTGCACCAGGTGGGGGGGGGGAGGGGGGTCCAAAGTTTAAACCCAAAGGCTTCAGCCCCAAGCAGGGGGCCTGTAGCCTCCATGCAGGATTGAAGCTGAATCCCTGAAGCCCTTGAGCTTCAGCCCCAGACCGTGGGGCTCAGGCTTCGGCCCGAGGCAGTGGGATTCAGGCTTCGGTCCCTAGTAAGTCTAATGCCAGCCCTGGTGACCCCATTTAAATGGGGTCCTGACCCACAGACTGAGAACCGCTGAGCTAGAAAGGCTGGGGTAAGTACTCTGTAAATAATCACTACTTCTGCTACAAAGGGCACAGGGTAACTGGAATAAACAAACTGGGATTTCACTGTCCTTTAAGAGGTGGGGTGAAGACACTAAGTCCCAAGACGTCCACTGACTGGTCCAAGATCACATAGCAACTCATGGTAGAGCCACAAATAGAACCAAGATACCCTAAGTCCCTGCTCTAACCACTGGGCAATGCTGCCTCTCACATATTTTTTAAACTAAGAATCCCGAATGATCATCTTTAATGGACCCTAAGAAATATGATCTAAAAATATTCTGCAACAGGATATTTTGGGGGTGGGAGGGAAGATGACAACTGAGGTCCAAAATATGAGAGAACACTCTCAGCAAAACAGCTGAGGAACAGCTGAGCTACCATCAGGGCACGTAGCTTTGCTCACCATCTTAAATGTCCCAGTAGATCCATCCGCTCCACAATGATCTATCCCAGGGGCATTCTTGAGGTTGGGTAATTATCTGGTTCAATTAAGAATACTAGCTCAGAACTATGCTATTTTACGTTTTTTGTGGGAGTTGTGGGTCAGCAGACGTGCAGACTAGGAAAGGTCAGAAGGCTGTGCATTTTGCTCAAAGTCCATTCTAATTACTTGACCCTATGGGTAGGTCTATAATCATATGACAACTGCTTCAGTTAACAGATTACATACTGTGGGGGTTCATCTAGGTTCATCCCCCTCCACAGAAGCATCTCTGCGATTTCACAGGTACTGAAAACAGCTGTTCAGAGCTTCTCTTGCCAGTCAACATCACTTTTAAGGCAAGCTTCTAATTTCTCTTTGGCTGAAAGATCTATCCAAAGCCTCATTCTTACTTTATGCTACTGCAGGTGTGGATAAGAGTAACCAAATGCATTGAATTTCATTGCCGATAGAATGTGGAAGAGCATACAGCCATTTTTCTGGTTTACACTCAAAATTCCTCTACCCCCAAGCTTACTCATATGTTTCCAAAAAGACTTAACAGTTAAGGTTATGCTGGGCCTTTTATTCTACACTTCATGTCTGACAGATTCCACAATGCAGAGTTCAGGTTGGTTAGCAGGACCAGATGACAGAATGGAAACTCTTCCCATGCCAACATTTTCTAGGCATCTGGAATTCATCCCATCCCTTTATTGTCCTATCCAGAGGACAGTTCTCTATCAAATAATGCCACTTTCATAAAGTGCTTTACACCCATAAATCTCAAGTGTTTTTCACACAGTTGAGCAATTTGTTTTACAGTTAGTAAAACAAAAGTAAAGCAAAATGATGCACCTGAGGTCACAGCCCAAGTCCACAGCAGAACTGGAAATAGTACCAATTGTCTCCCTCACACCCTATTAGCTGGATCATAATACTTCCCAGTAAATAAAGCTAGATCAAATAAAGTTTTCAACTGAACAACAAAATCACACTGGTTGAAAGGAGAAACACATTTTAAATCAGAAAAACATTAGCAATATCACTGAATTGTGACAACATAATAAAAACTGCAAATTGAAATCAGGTGTCTGAGATATTATGCACCAGGTTGCAGCATCTTGGAGTTTAGTAGCAGTGCTGATACTTTATCAGCATCAAAAACACACACACCAACAATAAGTTCACACCCCACTAATCACAATTAAACTTTGGTCACTGCACTTCTGGACCCGAATATTTATTGGTTAAATACAGTAGCTTAGTTTGCTTTTCTTATTTTTGCCAGATATTTTCATACCACACATCAAAAACAGTACTCTGTAAAGTTAATATTTTAAGCAGGGTTTCCAACATCTCTTCGGAAGACATGCAGACAGATAAACATGGACTGTGTCATATATTGTACCACAGGAGTCCTGATGTCTAATCAAACTTAACCGGGGACTAGGCAGCTCAAAGGATTGAATGGGATAAAGATAGATTTGGAAGGATTAATATCTAATTAGTGGGGGTAATTGCCCATATCCCCCTTCACCCCAAAAGCAAAGAAAAAAATAGAAAACATTCTAAACTATTTTGGGGGTGGAAAGGTTAATAAGGGGGGATTGTTTTCTGTATACAAAATGTGATGAAAATCAAATCTACACTTCTGAATCAGTTATTGTTCTTGACTACTTTTTATTAAAATGATATCTTCAACACAAAATATTTTTCCCTGCTAGTGAAATAATAAATATAAAAATGTACAAGATAATTGAAAATTGTCTTTTTCAATTAATTTCACAAAGATAAAAATCTAAACCTTCCAAGCCTAGATTGAGCCTTTGACATCTAGGTTAGAACTGAATCCAGAGTTATATGAAATCACAGCGAGGACCTGACATGTTCGCTGGCCTACGTGAAGTTAGATTGGATTCTCAACCCAGTTCCTAGTGATCAAGTGTCCACATCCCAGAAATGACCGCCACTGAAATCCTCAGTAGCAGTCACAGCTGAGGTGCCAAGAACTGGATGGGCCATCAAGAATGAACTGCCTTGTCACACCTGGAGGTGTTCTCTCTAGGTCAGGGTGAGAGGCTCCCAAGGCAAATGGAAAAACTTTCATTTCCAATGCCCATGTTGTATCTACTCTGTGGCTAAACAAAGGTCTTCATTCTCCAATGCCATCAGCCAGTACCTCTTACAAGAAGGAAACTAAGTCCAATTATTTCAATAGCAATTTTAGTCTGAAACACAGTGAACACTTTCACAAAGCTGTGCATCTAATTTCTTCTGGAAAGCATAAAGCTTGTTTGGCACTCGCAGGGAGTGACAGTTACTTCTCATTTATTTTTAATATGATGCACAA